ATTTTGGAGAGGGGTGGGGGAGGGGGGTGGGCGCAACTGCTATGGGTGGTTAATGAGCTCAGGAGTACAAACATGTTAATTGTAGATCCATGTCGGTGGCACACAGCGCTTACGAGGGTACTGAATACTGGCTCTTTAATTATATTTTTCCGGGGGGTGGGGGCTCTTTTTTAGTGTTTTGCATTCGAGATTTGAGTTGCCCACTGACATGTACGTATGTATGTTATGTTTCCAGTGCAGCCGCATTTGGCAAACGACTTGAAATCACGAATAGTGCGGATATTGGGAACGCGATTTTAAAAAACTAAAAACGGGATTGTTGCAGTTCGTGGGGTACTTTGTTGAACAACACACGATAACCCTAGCTCAAAAACAGAGCGCTGCTCTTTCAACGACCAGCAATGGTATGTGGATTATCTCTATTGTGATATTGGGTGCTACTCGCACATTTACTCAATGGGATTGATTAAATGGAATGTCTTATTTTTATATGTTTTTATTAAGCAGATGAACTCCGAATATGCTGAGAATAAGATAATGCAGTCGTCAATAATAGTCGGTAGCTTAATGGTCGTCGAAGCAATACATGATTGTCTCAGCCCTAAGCTCCAGTTAATCGTACAAAATGTACGAGGACGGCTCGTTAATAATAGGCCTATTATTGTAGTGAGACAAAACATCGGGGCCTTATTAATGTGTCATCAGAGGGCACGTGTTAAAAATATGTTTGTTGTACCTTCTTTCCTGGTTCCGCTTTTAGGTAAGTTAAACCGCTTACGGTTGGCGTAGGGTATAGGCTTACATACTATAGTTGTTTTCTTCATGCGAAGACAATGCGTTTATGGCTCAGGCTTATAGTGTTAGCCCTTTTGTTTAGGAGCAAATACTACTACTAGTTCGATTCATTCTCTGATATATTTCAGCATGAGACTTTATCAAGCTGTATTTCCTTACTTATTAGGTGTCCCAATTTTTTATTTTTAAAAAGTTGTATCACCTTGGAATGGACAGACAGCATCAACCCCCTTTGCTCGTTTACATTTCCAGCTGATTATCACAAAATCTCCAAAGAACACCCTTTGAGTACCATGTAGGAATCAATAGTTACATTTCGTGTGTATATGTATGTGTGGTGTATACATATGTGCGGAAGGGTGGTATGGTGTGTGTGCGTGTGTGTGTGTGTGTGCATGTGTTTTGTGTGTGTTTGTGTGTGTATGTGTGTGTGTGTGTGTGTGTGTGTGTGTGTGTG